ACACACACACACACACACACACACACACACACACACACACACACACACCCCTCTTATTTTCCACCCCTTTGTTCTATCCACTCAACTCCAAGTCGGGAGGTGGGAGAGCTATGTGGGAAGAGGGTGGAAGGGGGACGTTAAGTTGGAAGAAAGCAAGAAGGAAGTGGAGGAATGCAGGTAGGAGAGAGGTCAGATCACACTAGAAGGGAAAAATTGGTTTCTCCATTCTCCGTTTTCCTCTTTGTCCCACAGAGGGTGTCCAGTTACTCAAAGGAGGGGAATTAAGCCCATTCCCTATTCCCTCTCCCACCTCCCAGGCAGGGGGAAGGAGAAATCTTGGAAAGGACAAAGGCAGGCCATGAGACAGAATACGGGGGCAGCTTAACACCAGTGAGGGGATTGGAGCTTAAAGTTGTGGGCTCATAGACCATAGGACCAGCCGAAAATGAGCCGGAAGGTTCCTTAGAGGCCATCTGGTCCATCCCCCTCTTTTTAGAGACAAGGAAAGTGAGGCCCAGAGAAGAGACTTGTCCGAGGTGACTTAGGCAGTGGAAGAAGCAAATTTAGAACTGGGGTTTTCTGATTCCAAATCTATCATTCTTTCCCCTGGCTCAGGTCTCCAGAGGGCAGGGGCCTCTAACACTGGACCAACAGAATATAAGTTTCTTGAGAGGAGGGAGCAAGGAGCTTCTTGATTTATTTATTCATTTGTTTGTTTTGGCGTTATTCTAGGTCACACAGTGCCTGGCATATCCTAGGTGTTTAATAAATGCTTGTTGCTGGATTGACTGGGCACACAGAGATTAAGGTTCAATCATTATTTACGATGATGGCAGCGGTTGTGATTGGGGAGACAGTAGGGCCCTAGGGGGAAATGGGGGTGAAGGTGGGGGCTTAAAAATTCTGTTACATGGGATGGTTATTTGGGAGGGGGAGAAGGAAGGAGAAAGGCAGAAATGTAGGTGATATAAAAACAAGCCTATCAATAAAAATTTACTTTAAAAAGAAAGGGATGAGATATTGGAGGGATGAAGAGGGAGAGGAGGAGGCTTTGAGATGGGGCATGGGTGGAAGGAGGGCTGAGGAACAGAGTCTCAGAACAGGTGAGAGATGGAGGGGGAGACTTCTTGGCAAACACAGGCCTTGGCCCCCTTTCCCCTCCCCAAGGTGATGCTGGCCCAGCCGCGGTGAGCCGGAGGAAGTCACCACAGGCCTAGGGTGGGTTTGAGGTACGAGAGGCTGAGTGATGTGGCCAGGAGGTGAGCTCCCTGGCTGGAGAAGGCTGTGGTCAAGAGGAAGGAAAGCTGAGTGGCAAGGGAGGATGGAAGAAAGGGTTTGGAACACGGACGGAGGTCTGGAATGTCAGGGGCTCAGGTGCTCACGCTCCCAAGCAGGGCCTCAGCGATCTGAGGACCAAAGGTGGGGAGAGATGACGTGTCCCAGGGCCTCAGGATGGAAGGCTCAGCAGGGCACGGCTTGTCCCGGGCTACGGCCCAGGGAGCCTCTCGAAATGTCTCAACAGTTAGAGGAAGTTGCGAGAGGACAGCTCGGCTGCAGCCTACAGTAAACTCTTCCAACCCAAAGCTCAAGCTGTCTCCGCTGTCCCCTCCCCTTGGTCCAAGTCCTGGGGGGAGGGAGCTCCGGCCTTGCCTCACCTTCTTGCCCTGGGCCCCAGGTGGGTCTGCTCATGGGGGGGGTGTGGGGTGCAAGCAATGGCAGCCACCCGTCCTGACCGCCAGCTGGGGCTGGACAAGGCTGGGCTGCAAGAGCACCCACCCCACGCTTCCTGTTGCCAGACAGACCCAGGATTGCATTAGAGGCCTTGCTGGCTCCCCTCACCCCACTCCAGACAGATAGCTCAGAAGGCTGGGGGCTGATGAGGCGGGGAAGAATAGCTAAGGCCCTCAGACCCAGCCTCCACATGGGTCCCATGATGTCTAGCCTGCTCTCACCTCTGGCAGGCCTGTGCCCAGAGCTGGGCAGCCCTTCTTGGTCCTTAGAAAGCCCCCGGGGACTTTCTTTAACTCTACCTCTTGGCTAGGGGCCAGCGCTCTAGCTCCCTTCAAGGCCCAGCTCAAGGACTACCTCCTACAAGAAGGATCATCCCAATGTCTTAGTGCCCCATCCCCTGACTATTACTTTCTATCCATTTACATTGACGCCTGCGGACATGTTGCTTTGCCCTAGTAGAATACAGACTCCTTTGAGGGCAGGGACTGTTTGATTTCATGTTGTCCTTGTGTCCCCAGAGTCTCACACAATGCCTGGCACACAGAAGGCGATTAACAAATGCTTGTGGAGGGCAGCTAGGTGGCACAGTGGATACAGCACCAGCCCTGGATTCAGGAGGACCTGAGTTCAAATCCGGCCTCAGACACATAACACTTACTAGCTGTGTGACCCTGGGCAAATCACTTAACTCCATTGCCTAGCCAAAAAAAAAAAATGCTTGTGGAATTGAGCTGCATTGCCACCAATTAGCTGTGTGACCTAGACAAAATCAGTGCTCTTTTCCGACCTTCAGTATCTTCATCCATCAAAATGAGAGGGTCGGACAAGATGCTGGGGTTCTTGTCTTTTTTTGTGTCATGGATTCCTTTGGCAATTTGGTGACCCCATCTCAGAATAATGTTTTTAAAGGCATAAACTAAAACACATAAGATTATGAAGAAAAACAATTATAATGAAATACAGTTATCCAAATACCAGGTGTCTGAAAAGTCTTAGTGCAATTTTAAGTGATTAGAACTTGTATTTAAAAAGCTTGTTCACTCTCTCCATGCTAAGAGCCCCTGGCCTGCATGGTCTTTAAGGTACTTTTCAGCCCTAAGATTCTTTGAGTCTCCTGGCCTGTGCTCAGGGTGTGTTCAGAATGGGTTCCATCCATTGCCTCTAGGTAGGCGGTAAGATTCAGCCCTGTCCTGGGCTTGGGCAGTGGAGGGCAGCCTGATTCTCTGCCTGGCTGGCTTTGATCCTGGGGTATGGGGGTGGGGTGAGGAGGAGAACATTTGTTCTCTTGGACTCTGACCCATCCCTTCCCCAGAATCCCAGGAAGGGTTCGCCTCCCCATCCCCACCCCCATTGCCTGCACTCTGACATTATTTCCAATTTATCTCATCTGTAGCCTATTTGGAAATAGTTACTTGCATGTTGCATCGGCCGTTACACTGTGACCTCCTTGAGGGATGAGACTATGCTTTTGATTTTGTTTATTTCCCCAGGGACCATTAGCCCAGGGTCTGGAACATAGTAGGAGCTTTTCAAATGGTCGTTTGCTGATTATCAGCAGTTGACTATCTCCTTCTGATTGCACTGGTTTCCCGAGGCGTTCCTTGCCTTTCCTTCTCCCTAGAAGATTCACAGGATCATAGGAGTTAGAGTTGGGATGGACCTTCAGGTCATCTAGACCAACCCCATCATCTTATAGATGAATAAATGGAGGCCCAGGGTGATAAAGTGCTTTGCCTGCTGTCATGGAGCTTATTAAATAGCGGGGTAGAATTGAAACACAGGTCCTCTGACTCCACTGTACCAGGTGGTCTTTGAATTAAGTGGCTTAATTAAGAATTAACTAATTAATTAAGAATCAGGAGGTAAGTGTTTTTTTCTGAAGCCACGCAGGTAGTGTGAGAGCTGGAATCTGAATCCAGAACTCTAGATCCATTTCTAGAGTTTGGTATCATCCCAAGGAATAGACCTACAGCTAGGCCTTAATGGAGGCTTCCCCAATCAATTAACTCTGAAATGCCTCCAAGGAACAGCCTATGTGAGGCTGATAAACACAACCCAGGCCTGCCTGAGTCTGCCGGCCAGTCAACTAGTACTTATTAAGCACCTACTATGTCCTAGGCCCTGTGCTAGGGTCCCTCCCTTCCATCCATTATCAGCCCCTCCTCTACATCTTTTCTTCTCTTTTTGTCTCCTTCACTTTTTTCCTTCTCTTTCCCATCTAGGTTCTTCTTTCTCTATTTTTTTCTGTTCTCCTTCCTTTTCCTCTTCTTTTGTACCCTTAGGTCCCTTCCTCCTTTTCTTCTGTTTCTTCTTTCCTTTCTCTTCTTTTCTCTTCCCTTCTCTTCTTCCCCTTCCCTTCTCATTTCTCCCTTCTCTTCTCTCTTTTCTTCCCTTTCTTTCCCTTCCCTTCCCTTCTCTCCTCTTTTCCCTTCCATTCCTTTCCCTTCTCTTCTCTTCCCTTCTCTCTTCTCTTCTTTTCCATTCCTCTTTTCTTTTCTTCTCTGTTCCTCCATCATCTTTCTCACACAACCTCCCTCTTTTTTCTCCCCTCCACATCCTTCTCTCTTTCTCCATCTTCTTTCCTTGTCCCATCTCCTTACCCAGTTCTTTTCGTTCTACTTCTATAAATTTTGTCACCTCTTTCCTCTCTTCTCCATTTTCCCTGGTCGCAACTCTAGTTCAGGTTCTTATCACCACCCACATAGGCTGTTGAAATAAGTTTCTAGTAGATCTCCTTTCCTTTGCTTTCTTTTCCCCTTCAATCCATCTTTCATGTTGCTGCCAGGCTAACCTTGTATTCTTTCTTTTAAAAAAAATTCTAAGTTAAATTTTATATTCTTGTCCTACTCTTTCTTACATGTAGAGCTAGCTACAGTACTCCTCCACTCAAAAACCTTCAGTAGCTCTTTATTGCCTACCAAGTAAAGTCCGAACTCTCATGCTCTCCATAACATGGGCCTGATTTATCCTTTCTGGCCTTAATTAGCCCCATGCTAGATGACCTTGATTCTCAGTCTAGCCAAACTGGGCTACTCACCTAGCCCAGTTCACATCTCTTGCTTTCCCACCTCCATATTTTTGCCCATGCTGTTCTCTGTCCCTGGAATGCCTTCTCCCTGCCTGCTGAATCCCTGCCCATCCTTTAGAACAGCTCAGAAACAAGCTTCTTTGATTTCCCTCCCCCAGCCACACCCCCATGATCTTTCACCCGCACTCACGGCTCATATAACACTTGCTTGCCTCTCTCATAAAATACTATGATCATAGACTCAGAGTTGAGGGGAGCTCACAGAAGTCACCAACTCCCTCATTTTACAGACAAAGAAAATGAGGCCCAGGAAGGTCATACAGACTGTAAGCATCAGAAATGGGATTTGAGCCTGGATTCTCTGACTCTGGAGCCAGGGAATTTTCCACATCATCCTGGGGACCTTAGGAGTCATCTAGCCCGACCTTCTTAATTTCCAGCTAAGGAAACATGTCCCAGTAGATGAAGTAGCTTGCCCAAAGTTACACTGACTGCTATCTGAGTGAGAGCTGGGACAAGATCTTGGTCACCTAACTCTTCATCAAATACTTCCTGGGAGAATAAGATGATTTCTCTGACTACGAAAGCCCAAGAAAGGTTTTGTGTTCTCTTGTGGACTGACGTGCAATATGGCACATTATTATTATTTGGGCCCGTCATTCTTTGTATTTGAAAGTTCCAAGGGGTCAGGCAACACATCTTACTCACTCTGTCCTCTCCTCCAGTCCAGCGCAATGCTTTAAAAATATTTTCACCTGTGGCAAAAACAGTTGGGGGGCAGGTTGGTTACAGCTCAGAAGTGGGGTAGCTCTTGGGTACAGGTGTGTACAGGTTAAGTCTGACCTTTGACCCCAAGGGTGTTGGAGGTGAAGGTGAAAGCAGATCTGGGAGATGGTGCCACAGGGACAGACCTCTAGGAGTGGCAAGTGCCCCACACCATCTCTTGGGCTGGTGAGAGAACCTGCTGCTATCCCCTTCACCCCTTCCCTTTGGGGAGAAGCCGCATATGCTCTGTTCCCATTATCACTCTACCTCTGGAGATTTGCCAAATTGAATTATCCGGTAGAACCCAAGACCCACCTCCTCAGTAGCACTGACTCCTGTGCCTACTCTTCTCTGAATTTTGGAAATTCCCTAGCCTGGGGTTCTGGTTTCTAGAAGGGCTTCAGTCTTCAGAAGAGCTCCAGGTAAAGTGGAAAAGAAGGAAGAAAGGCTTCTGACTTGGGGGCAAACTCATTTAACTATGGGGTGTTTGTGTGTGAAGAGAAGTTCTGGGCATACTTTCTAATATTTTGGATAGGCAACCTGGCAGAGTGTCTAAGAAAGCTAAACTTGGGGTCAGGAAGATTTTCCTGCTTCATCACTTAATAGTTGTGTAACTATGGGCCAATCATTATCGCCTCTCTGAGTCTCAGTTTCCTCATCTCTAAAATGGAGCACTTGGATTAAAAGGCCAAGCTCTAACTCAATGATCTTCTTTTTGGAATTTCTTCTTGGTGTGCATGGCCCACCCCCATTCCCCACCCAGACTAGACCTTACGCTCTTTGAGGCCAAGGGGGTGTGTTATTCTTTACCTTTGAATCCCCAGAATCAAGTAGAAAGTCTTGTTTCTTGTTGGTGCCTAATAAACAATGACAATAAGTCACATTTCTTTAGTCCTTTAAGGTTTATAAGATGCTTTACTCAGGACAACCCAAGGAAGTAGGCTAGGCAAGTATTATGGGGCCCATTTTGCAGATAAGGAAACTGAGGCTCTGAGAGAGTAAATGACTGCCCACAATCACAGATCACAGAATTTGGGAGTTGGAAGGGGCCTCAGTAGCAATCTAGTTTGACCCATACAAGAACTGAATAGCCACTAAACCATACCTGACAAATGGTCATTCAGCCTCTGCTCAAAGATACCCTAAGGAGAGGAAACCCCTCACCTTCCAAGGCAAACCACTCCACTTTGGTACAGCTCTAATCGTTAGGAAGCTTTCTCCAGACATATCGATCACACAACTAACAAGTGTCTAAGAGGCGACTCCAGCCCAGGTCTTCAGTCTCCAAGTCCTGTGCTTTATTCACTGTGGTAGGTTGCTTCTCGTAAGTACTGGGTGCAGACTCTGAGATGCCAGGCTCCTGAGGGGTGGGACCTCCTGCATGGGCTCTAAACTCTAGGTGCAAACAGGTGTTTAATAAAAGTTTTCTGATGGTGAGAGAAGAGTTTTCTTTCTTTCCCCTTGTCTGACTGCATGGTACACAAGAAAAAACCCCTGCTAATCCAGATAGGCCTACACAACCCATGGAGCATCTGTGCATGCCCGTGTGTGTGTGTGTGTGTGTGTGTGTGTGTGTGTGTGTGTGTGTGTGCGCGTGGCTCCCATTCATAAACAGCTTTTATTCTGGGGGCCCCACTTTTATGACAGATAAACAACAAAGAGCAGAGCCAGATGCAACGCTCATCATAGATTTTTAGATCTAGAAGGAACCTTAGAAGTCAGAAAGACCACCACCCTGCATAGTTAAGGAATCTGAGGACTATTGGGGGTAGAGATTTGTCTAAGGTCATCCAGATGGGTGGAGGCAAAACCAGGACTAGAGCCCATTCTTCTGACTCTTAGGCCAGGGCTCTTCTATGCTGAGCTAAATCTCCTCTCCCCCTAACCCCCTGCCCCTAACCGTCTCCTAAACTGGAGTCAAAGGACCTGGGCTTAAATCCCACCTCTGACACTACACGTATGACCTCAAGCAAATCACATTACCTGGGCCTCAGTTTACTCATCTGTAAAATAAGGAAGTTGTCCTAGATGTTTATTAAGGTCCTTTCCTACGATCCTATGATCTTAAGTGTGAGCCTGACTCAGGAGAACCTTGCCAAGGAAGCCAGGAGGGAGACACAGCCCTTCTATTCAAAAGCTAAAGGAGAAAGGGAGCTTAGAATGGAGTCCCTAGAGAAGGGGAACAAGGGCGATCTGCTTCCAGCTGGATGAACTGGCACTGAGTAATCTGGAGTGCAGCAGATCAGAGGATTTAGAAATGGAAAAGACCTTAGAGCAGAGAACAGAGAATAGCAGTCAGACGAGATCCTAGAACAGAGAATAGAGAATATTAGAAATGGAGAGGACCTTAGAACAAGGAATGTCAGAGCTGGGAGGAACCTTAGAACAAGGTACGTCAGAGCTGGGAGGGACCTTAGAACAAGGAATGTCAGAGCTGGGGTGGGGGGAGGCCTTAGAACAAGGAACGTCAAAGCTGGGAGGGACCTGAGAACAGAGAATGTCAGAACTGGGAGGGACCTGAGAACAAGGAATGTCAGAGCTGGGTGGGTCTTTAGAACAGAGACTGTCAGAGCTGAGAGAGGTCTTAGAGGTCTTTCTAATCTAAGCTCCTCATCTTGCAGATGAAGAAACTGAGGCCCAGAGAGGGAGAACAGCTACTTGGGCTCCAGCTTAGAAGAGTTTTCAGACCAACAGAATGGGTCACAGGGAAGGAGGTTTTCTAGGTAGTGTTCCCCCTGAACTGGTTGAAAAGCTGGCATGGAATGGAGTTGGGGGGAGAGGGCTGGTCTGGAAACAGGGACCGCAGGGATTTTGATGGAAAGGATGGTATGTGATGCTCAGGTTCTCAGGGCTGAGGGAAAGGAAGTTGGCGTGAATAGGGTGAGGGAGGAAGCTGGCATGGATGCCTGTGATTCACCACATACCTGTGATCTAGGCTGGGGCCCCAGTTACACCGAGAAGCTGCTGCTGTTTCCCCTAGGAAGGGCCTGGGGGCCAAGGGCATCGTGCCCTGGAGTCCTTATCAAGGTGAAGTTCCTGCTTCCTCTGCATTCTCTCAACCTCCTGAGATGCCTGCACGGTCCAGTCCCTCAGAACCTTACAAGACAGAACGTTAGCCTGGAAGGGGCCTTAGAATCCTGGTCTGCCTGTTCCAGGTCTTCACCCCTGCTCCCGCCCCGGGCAATCCACCCTCCTGCTCAAGTGCGATGCTGACTTTTCTGAAGTGTCAGCTTGACCAATGGACTTCCTGCCAATGAACTTCAGAGGGTCGCTATTACCTTCAGGATCAAAGAGAAATCAGCTCCTCTCTCTGATACTTAACACTTTTCATAACCTAGAGCCTTCTTACCTTTCCAGCCTTCCCATGTTCTGTGCCCCTCCACGCTCCCAAAACCCTGGCCAGCCTGCTTTTTGTCATCTAGAACACTCCCTCTCTCATCTCTATCCTTTTGTGCTGGCTGTCTCCCCCACCCCTACTCTCACCCCCAAGTCTGGAACGTTCTGTCTTCTCACGGCTGCTTTTTAGTTTCCATGGCTTCCTTCCAAACTCAAAGTCCCCCTTGTGCAAGAGAGCTGCCCCATGCTGCCCAGCTGCTAACACCTTCTTTCAGATCACCTTTCTTTCTACTCAGCACACAGAACATCAGAGCTGGAAGATGCCTTAGAACACAGAATATGAGAACTGGAAGGGACCTTTGAGCATAGAATATCAGAGCTTAGAACATAGGACATCAGAGCTGGACTTTCGAACATAGAATGTCAGGGTCAGGGAAGGTCCTTAGAACATGGAACATGCAGTACTAAAACCGGGAAGAACTTTAGAATACAAAACCAAATGAAAACAGTGTTGGCCACGTGGGAATCAGGTTGGCCCCAAGGAGATTTCACAGGGAACCTGGGGGTCATTTTGCTACAGGAAGCCATGGCAATACCAGCCATTGCCACTGCCTGGCTGGGAGGCCACTAGGCCCCACCAGGCCTCTGGGGGAAAGGGTCAGGTCTCCCAGGCCTTGGTCTCAGCCCTCTCCTCCCCCTCCTGAACCCACTGCCCCCTTTCAGGCTTCCCCCCAGCCCCCAGAGGGCCGCCTGCTTCCTCTGAGCTGGTGACTCTGGCCTGGTGGCCTTTACAGCCTGGTCTCCTCCTGCCACCTGCCTCAGGGGCCAGCCAGAGACTTCCTGTAGCGCAAGAGATTTATGCAAACGGGCTGGGGTGGTGATGTCACCCTGGGGGGGACTATCTCCCAGCTACAGGCCCTTCGATAAAATCAGGAACTTGGGCTGCTTTGCAATGTCAAGGGAGGGGGCTCACGTCGGGATCAGCCAGGCCAAGGGGCAGGACTGAGGCTCCTTCGAAAGCCTCCCTGCCCGCCCCCACTGGGTGCCCGCCTCCCACCCCCAGCCCCACCAGACCTGACCCTGTGGCTCCCAATGCCCAGGGGCTCCGGAGTGGGCCCTGCCGAGGCAGGGGAGCTGACGGGCCCTGAGATCGGGTGGATGTTGCAGGCGTGCAAGATGGAAGGGTTCCCCCTCGTCTCCCCTGTGAGTATGGGGGCTCCCTCCCCCTCCCCCTCCCCTTCCAGCCCCCTCTGGTTTTTAATCAGTGGGAAGCTGGTGTTTCCTCCCTGGGGGCCCTGGATGAGAAGATTGGGACGGAGCTTTTCCCCCGATTATGCCCTGGAGGGCTAAGGACTGACGGAAAGCTCAGTTAGGGACAGAGGGTGGGAGGAATGGAGGCCAACGGGTGCCGAGGGCTGGATGGTGATGGGGTCTACTATGCTAAGGGCCCCTTCCCCGGTTATTTCTAGCCTAGAGCTGTGTGGGCTTGGCACCAAAACTAGATGGAGCACAGATTGGAGAGGCAGAGACGACAGAGGGTGGGGCATCCAGGGCCTGGGTGGGGGGCTGCATGTGGATCAGAACAGGAATCCCCTGCACCTTGGAACAGAAAGAAAGGGATGGAAGAGGGAGTGAGGCTAAAGTCAGGGAGAGGGCAAGGGGGCACAGGTCCGGGTGGGGGTAGAAGTAGAAACAGATGGCAAGTACCTAGAGCTCTGGGGAAGGGGATGGGCTGGTTGGCCCTACAGTGAGGTTCTATGATTCTAGGAGGCCAGGGCAGGAAAGTGGGCGATCAGGGAGGTCAAAGGGCTGGGAGATAGATCGGTCCCCAAGACAGCAGGCTGACGTGAAAATGGGCTCCCAGGGAAGCCCAGGAGCCCAGGGTGGGGGATCAGGGACGGGATGGGACGAGGGAAGAAAGAACAGGAGGACAGACCCTCACAATGCTCCTCTGCCCTCCCCTTGGGGCAGATCACCGAGCAGAGAAACCCTCTCGATGAGGCTCCATCTTCCTTCCAACCCCTACAAGAATGAGAGATGGTAGGGACATTTTTGCTGGGCTCAGCCCAGCCGCTCTTCTCTTCACTTGACTCAGGCTTTCCCAGCCTGGCTAAAGTCCTACTCGGGGTGGAACCCACAGTCAGATTTTGGGAGTCTGAGCTCCCCCCAAGCTGAGGCCAAGCCAATACCAGCTCCCAGCCTCCTCATCCAGCCTGAGCTGGATAGGTCTCCCAGAGCCTTCTGGTACCCTGTATCTGTTGAACCCCCACCCCCTTCCCTTTGGAGAGCTGGGTTCTCTGAGGTCTCTTTGGTCTGAGATGTGGTGGGAGGGGAAGACAGATCATCTTGGTTCCCACCCCACCCCACCCCAAACATTGCCTCCAGACTTAGGGACTCAGGGTCTGTCTCAATAGTGACCCTTGAAGAGCCTCTGTTTCCCCAAACTGCTGATTTCAGGGACTATAGCACAGAGGCCTTCTTCCCCCATTCCCCATTTGCTCCCATGTCATCTCAGCCCTCTATCTCCAGATAACTCTCTAGATACAACCCCCTGCTTTATGCTGAAACCCAGACAGTCTGATGGATTTACCTGAGTCCTGACCCTCTAGATTCTTGGGATCCCTCACTTTTCTCCACAACCTAGAATTTTCCTGAAGATTTCTCAGCAAGGCAGGGGAATTTCTCCCAGGGTTGGGAGGATGCTAAGCATTTGGGATGCCTCTTCCAGGCAAAATTATTTCTATGGCTGCCCCCAAACCTGCTTCAGTCCCCAAGTCTGGGTTAAATGTACTTCTCACCATTATAAGCCTCTGTGAATGAAAGGGGAGGCCTTGGCTGCTCTTGGGGTAGCTCTACAAGGGAGTAGGAGAACAGTCAGGGAGGGAGGGCCTGTCCAGCCTACCCAGCCCCAAGCCACGTCTGGATTAGTTCAGGGAAAACCTAGGAGCATAGCTTTAGAGCTGGAAGGGACCTTAGAGGTCACAGAATTCAACTCCCTCATTTTACAGATGAGGAAACTGAGGCCCAGAGAAGGGAAGGGACTTACCCATCTGTATGATGGAAATGGACAATTCAGCCAAAGCTACCAGCTTTGGGAGCTAGCCCCTAGGACAGGTTCCAAGGGAGAGGATTATTGTGTGTCTGTTGGTGAGGAATGGACCTGGGGTGGGGTGTCTGTGAATGTGAGGATGAGCTGTGGATTTGGTGGGGGGCTGAAGCTGAGAGTGCTCAAGGCGTGTGACAACACGTGTGGGTGTGAGGGAGGGTGGGGGGTGAGAGAGGGGGGATGTTGTCCCTCAAACACTTTTTTTGGAAGTAGGTGGGGACTGAAAACAAGGGGGTACCTGAAGGCAGAGTGAACTTAACTGTGTGTGAAGGGGGAGGACAGGTGAGTGAACGTGAGACCTCATGAGAACCGGTGGGAATGGAGGAGAGGAGTGAGGGCTGGGGGGCGAGGGGGAGACTGGGGGCAGGGGAAGAAAGGCAGATGCAAACATAGGTAGACAGACAGACAGACAGGTAGATAGATAGAATATTAATGAATTATTTATCATATGTCATAGCACTGCAGTAAGCAGTAAAGATACAAATACAAGCAAGCAAGGGTGTTCCTTCCCTCAAGCAGTTTACATTCTAACGGGAGGAGATACCAAATAAAGGGCACCCAGAATGCAGGAGACAAGGAGGGTGGGGAGGGAAGGAAGGATCATGGAATCATGGATTTAGGGCTGGAAGGGACCTTGGAGGTATCAAATTTGACCCTTCCATTTACAGAGGAGGAAACTGAGGCACAGAGACATTAAATGATATTTCTGGGTTGCACAGCTACTAAGTATCTGAAGGGGGGATTTGAACTCAAGGAGGAGATACTATTGTTCCCTTCAGATGCAGACACATATTTCTCACCTCTGACTGTCTGCTTCAATTCTGGACTCTCTAGGCTCCTTAAGGACTTCCCTAGGGCCATGGTAGCTGGTGTCCTCATCCCATACCCCAATCTGCATGAAGGTCTTCAGATCTCTGACTCTACTCCACCCCTACTCACACTTTAACTCTGCCTTGGGAAGGACCCCCACGTCACAGTTCCCACCTTGCAGATGGATAGGGAGAGAGAACACAGGCAAGGAAAGGAGCTATGGATTGGGTGTGGGGGATTAGGGGATGTGTAGGCCAAAACGAAGACCCCCAGATCTTTGGGCAAGACCTCAACCCTTCCCTTCTCTACAGCCATCAGAAGACATGGTGCCCTATGACACAGATCTATATCGACAAACTCACGAATATTATCCATACATCAGCAGTGATGGAGAGAGCCATAGTGGTAAGTGGTTCCCATCTCTCCCCTCTCTCAAAGGCCCTATGGCTAGGGTGGGGGGGTTAACTGTTGCATCCTGTCCTCTTTGGCTTCCAATGTACAATGCCAAAGGCGAGCATACCCTGGGGATCCATGCAGCTCATGAATAAATCAATCAACAAACATTTATTAAGTACTGGTTAGGTACTAGGCTCCGGGGATGCAAAGACAGAAGCAATTCCTACTCTTGGGGAGTTTATACTCCCCATGTAAGTAGACAGGTGTGTCTAAATCTTCTCTCTTTACTCTGCTCCTCCCTAAGCCATGGGCAGGTGTCTTTGAAAGTGTCCTTAGAACATCTATTACTTGGAAAAGCTTAGCTGGGACGTGCGTGTGTGGTGCGGGGAGAGGGGTTATTATTATCGTCATTAACACTGACTTCCTTGTTAAATTGATCATGATCAGAAGCAACACCAAACCCTGGGTCTAGACCAGGGACAGGCCTAGGAGGTCAATTAGTCCACCCCTCTGCTTTATAGAGACCAGTAGGCTGAAACCCAGAGAGCCTGATGGACTTAGCTGAGTTTACACAGGGAGTAAATGGCAGAGAGGCATTGGAATTCAGGTCCTCTTACTTAAAACCTAGCAAATTTTATTGACTGTACCATTATAGAATCACAGGAATAAAAGCCAGAAGGAACCTTACAACCCATAAAATCAGACCTGAGAAGGTCCTTAGGGCTCAGACTGTCAGGGAACTTAGAACACCAACTGTCAGAATTGTTAAAGCTGAAAAGGAATTTAGAATCCAGAATGTTAGAGCTGCGGAGAACTTTAAAACAAACTTTAAAACAAAACTTTAAAACAAAGATTGTCAGAACTGGGTAGGGCCTTAGAACCTAGAATGTCAGAGTGGCAGGGACCTTAGAACACAGAAGGTCAGAGTTGGGAGGGATCTTAGAACATAGAAGGTCAGAGTAGAGGGACCTTAGAACACAGAACGTCAGAACTGTGAAGAGCCTTAGAATACAGACGGTTAGAGCTAGGAGGTAATTTAGAACATATAATGTTAGAGCTGGGAGGGCCTTTGAGCAAATATTGTCAGAACTAAGTAGGACCTTAGAACACAGGATGTCAGAGCTGGGAAGAACTTTAGAAATGATCTGGTGCATCCCTCTTGTTCCACTAATGAGGAGGACAGCAAGGCTCAGAGGGAAGTACCTGAGGAGATGCAGACAGAGTTAGGGTTGCTCCCCCCAGTGGGGGAGGGGTTTGGACCCTGTACCATTGAGTGGTCTCTGATAGCGTTGGCCTGCCATCAAGGCAATGTAAGCGCCTAGCTGAGGTTGGGGCATGGAAGCAGACAGAAATAACGCAAGGTAAGGTGTGATGGGGAGGAGAGAGCCAGGCCAACCTAAGTAGGAGAGATCACTCTTGGCCAGGGGGTGGGCAGGGAAGTATTCATGGAGGAAGGAGCCTGCAGGAAGGATTTGAAAGAGCGCCACCCCCAACAATGTAAGAAGAAACAGGAAGGGGTTTCAAGCCTCTAATGGAGTTAGGGTTTGGACCCTGGACCTCTGCTAGCCTTGGCCCACAGACTGACAGTGTCAGCTCCTAGCTGAGTTTGGGGCGCCTGGCCAAAGGCAGTAGGGGTAGGGGTCTAACACAACTGGAGACAGACCAGGCTATCCAGTCAGAGGAGGCCAGGAAAGTCCCAAGGTCCCAGGGGACACTGAGGCATCCAAGCTGCTAACTCCACGGGTCATTTGAGATGAAGACAGAAAGCCTACTGTCCACCCTTCCACCAAGATCTGGAGTCTATAGAAGAAAAGAGGACCAGGAATACTGGATTCAGGGTTTGGGGAGTAGGGCTAGAATCCCTGGAGGCCCATGAACCCATAACAAGGCTAGGAAATGACCTCTCCCCATCAGGTCTTGAAGAGTTGGGGGGACAGAAAAGAGGTATCTTTAGGTTGAGCTGTACAGATAGATCTAGGGTGATTCCCCCCCCCCCGACTCCCAAGGAAACTGGATTCAGAATCAGAAATAGTAGTATTATTTTCAAATATAGGCCAAGGCTTGATAAGGTAGGCAGTGGGAAAGATGCTGGATACCTACACAAGGCTAGCATTCTCTAGAGCCACATCTGGAAGTCATATCCTCAAGCCCTATCCGTTCAATTCCATTTTTACTAAGCAGCAACTATGTTGGCATCCACTTTGGGGGGAGGGGGATACAGGGAGTCAGCACCTGAGAGCCCCATCTGGGAGCCCTTGGGAATCCCAGGGACCCCCATGCCCAGGGCAGGGAAGGCTCTTTTGAAACCCAGGAGATCTGACTCCCTCCTTATGAGGTTCCATAATAGGATAGTGTTGCCCTTATGGGAGGGGCTGCTTGAGAGTTCTGAGAAGCCAGCACTGACTCACACCCCTTACTCCTGACAGTGCAGTTCCCTGGAGGAGCTCAAGGGAGGGATTGGTGGATTGCAGGCCTGGGGTCTAGTGTTAAATTAGCTTTGCCTCATAAACACCATTCTTCCCTACACACCCAATCTTCACTCCAGTTACAAAACTCTAGAGGCCCAAGGCAAGGCTGTGGAGAATTTGACAATGCCTAAGAATCACAGAAGTGTTGGAGAATCATTGTCCTTGCCCCCGGAGCCAGCTGTTCTGGCCCAGTGGGGCTACAGAGCCTGGTTGAGGGAACAGAAAGGAACCAGTGAGCCCTAGGGCATCTGACCCAGCCCCAGAACCCAGAACAATCTCAGAGCCAGGGCTAAAATCTGGGGCTACCCCAGGGCGCATAGGAAGAGGATGGGTTCAGTTGGCCTGGAATTCCCCCTGTGCCACTCATACTTCTCATGGCCCTGGAGGTGCTCAAGCCCCCTGGGGTCCCTGGGGCAAGCAGTAGACTGGAGCTAGTAACCTCAGCCTGGACTAGACCTCTCCTCTCTCCCCACACTGAGAGGCATCCAAACGCTAGTCACTTTCCAATCCTGAGATCTATTTCACTGGGATGGAGGGTCTGGCAACCCCTGGTGGCCACATGGAGCAGTGCAGGGCCGCGTCAGTCACCTGAGAAAGCAAAGATTCTCCCGGGGGGTAGGGAATGACCCAGAGCTTTTGGACTGAGTTCCTTTCTCCATCCCTGTCCCAGGACTCAGTTTTCCCACCTGTAAACTGGAAATGATGACAGCTGTTCTATATACCAAATAAGATGTGGGAAGGCAAAAAGATGCAGCCAGGTGGAAGAGAATTAGTTTGTCTCCTGGCCCTGAGCCCACTTGGCCTGAGTTAATATTCCACTGGTCTGGTGAGCTGGAATCTTGTGAAGAAATCCTATCTTGCCGTGATTTACTGAGGTTCAAGGTCCAGTAACTAGGTCCAAATAGATTTTCTACTAAAAACCCCTCCCCCCAAAAAATATTAGGATGTGGGCTAGAGGCTCAATATGGGTGTTGGATACTGGAAGGTAGAGAAGGGCTGGTGGAAGAATCATAGGATCAGAGGAGGGGAGAGGTGATTTTAGGGACATCTGTCTACCCCTATTCTTTCAACCATATTGAAAGTGAAAAAGGGGGTCAGCCCATTCACCCTGCAGGCATCCCCATCAGCACCTTCCCCCCACCCCCCATGGACTCCGTTCTCCGGAGCCCCTCATGGCCAGAGAAGCCATGGGGACTTTCCCAATTCCCCCCTCCTTCTGAGGCACCAGGAGGAGGGAATTTCCCTTCTTGGGAGCAGGGGCCCCTCCCCCTTCCTCCCACCATCAGCCCCTGCTCTTTAACTGCACCCATCCTGACTCCTTCTTTGGCCCAGTTCAGGAGAGAAGTGATCCTTTCCCCATCTTCTCCACTTCCTTTCTCTCCTGTTTTCTCCTCCCCAGAGGCTGGAGGGAAGCATCTGCCCAGTCCTGCTCCCCTGGCCCTCCCTGGGCTCCCCCTTCTGTGACCATCCTAGGCTCTCTGCTGGAAAGAGATAAGGCTAACCCATGGACGTGCAGGAGTTTCAGGGGTGGGGTTTGTTCTGAGAGTTGGTTGGATTGGTTTTAGATTTAGAGGTTTTTCTGCCTGTGTGTGATTGAATATGTGTGTAATTGAGTATACGATTCCATATTCAGAATAGGCATTTGGCTACTTTGCCTCCTGAAAAGGTAGTGTCACCATAACCTGGTGACTTTTGCCATGGGGCCTGGTACACCTGGGGTAGAGGTGGAAAACATCACACTTGGCGTAGAGGTGGAAAACAATCCCCATTAAGAGCTGGCCTGCATAATGATTTTTAAGGTTTGCAAAGCACCTCATTTCCATTATCTCACTTGAGTCTTCCAAAAAGCCCCTGAGGCAGACACTAGAGGTAGGTTATTCCCATTTACAACTGAGAAAAACTGAGGCTAGGAGGGGCTGAATACCTTGCCGCAACTCACACAACTAGTAAGTAGTGGGGGTGCATTTCAGATCCAACATACTCTCTTCTACAGAGTATGGAAGAATGAACACATCTGGTTCCCTGATGCTAGGATGGGACTCACTGAACATTTTTTATAAATTCCTTCAACTACTATTTATTGAGTGTACTAAGTGCTTAGTATTCTGAGCATTGCTTTGATAATGCAGAGACAGGAGCACGTGCCAAGAAGCCTTTCTAAGACCGCAGGTGACAGACACCGAGCTCTTCAGATCATTAGAAATGCCTTGATGGAGGAGACTGGGCAGGAAGCTCTAGGGAGGGGCTAGGGGAATGCGGAGAAAAGCAGCAGACAGATACAATGTGGGTGAGGAAATAGTGCCAGTAGGAGCAAAAGATTCCACGTTAGGCTCCTGAAGACTATCCCCTGGGGTCACTGGCCCCCAAGGGCTTCTGGGGCTCTAAACAAAGCCATGGTAAGGTGTGCTCCTGGGAGGCTATGGGCGGCTCAGCTCCCTCCACCTTCAGAGAGGGCACAGATGTGGAGGCAGAGAAGGGCCAGAGAAAAGACCTTTGATCAAGGACACTGGGGAGAGGGGAGGAGGGGAATGGATCACCACAGAGCACAGAATGTCAGGAAACCTTTAAACTTAAAATGGCAGAGCTGGAAGGAATTTTAGGAGAGAATGTTAGAGCTGAGAGAAGACCTTAGAACACAGAAGGTCAGAGTGAGGAGGGCCCTTAGAACACAGAAGGTCAGAACTGGGAGGGCCTTAGAACACAGAAGGTCAGAGTGAGGAGGGCCCTTGGAACATAGAAGGTGAGAGCCAGGAGTGTTTTTAGAACACAGAAGGTCAGAGCTGGGAG